CACGTTGACCGTACAGTTCGAGTCGGTAAAAAATGGTTTGAATCTTGGCTGAAAATGATTCGTATCTTGGTTGTAACGTCGATATTTAGTTCTAAAGTCTCTGCTACGAGGCGCCACTTTCCTCGGTGAGGACTATGAGCGTAAGAGCCTCCGCACAAGAATGTAACACGTTACGTTACGTTAAGTACTGACCTTAAACCCCTTGTCCACAATCTTGCTTTAATTCTTAAGCCATAAGAAATTGACCAGCCACAATTGATTATTTTTAAAATAATTGACTGTGGTTGGTCAATTTATTACAACTTAAAGATTAAAGCAAGGTTATGGACAAGGGAAAACTTATAACCGTACTTAAACTTAAGCAATTCGTAACGTAAGATTTTCTGTAAAAATATATTTTTATAAAAAAAAGTAACAAAGAAGCACTTTAAAAAAAAAACTTAAAATTTTTGTTCATCCTATAATGAACGTCGTGCACTGATTCGTGATTTTGGCTTTACTCACTTTGAGTGAGTAAAGTCAAAATAGCATGTTTTCTTCAACACTGAGTAACTCGGTAAAAAAAATCGTACCATAATCTAAGTATGCGTAAATTAAAAAGAAAATTTCAAGCTTTGAATAGTATTAGTGCACAAAATTTAATTTACGCAGTCCAAGTCAGCAAACATAAAAAATTTCAACAATGATGAATTTTCATTTATATTTGTCTAATGCTACGGAAAATATGAGTGGATTTTATATTCGAAATTATATCTGCAAACTAAAGACCTCAAGAAGCTGTAAAATGCTTTCTTTGAACATCTCACAATTTATTCTCAAGCTACGGCTCATGAAATTTGAAAAGTGAAGTCCCGAAAATTCAAAAAAATCTTTTTGTCGACCGAAACGATAAATATTTGACTTTCGCCCACAACTTTCTGATGTTGATGTTACGAAATATCGAACATTCATCGTTAACGATGTAACGTCGCTTTAACCGGTGTGGAAATTACAGGGACGCGTGCGGGAGACGAATGTAGCGAAGGCGCGTGGAGCCTTTCGGGCCGAACAATGCGGCGCGACGATTGGAAAGTCATCGATCATGTATCCTAATTCGCGCGGCGCCGCGTGATATTGTAAAATTCGTGGCGATGATCGATCGCCTTCGAACTCCCGTGAGACGACACCGCCTCTGTACGCTTGATTACCGCGATGGTGCACCGATGCCCACGTCATCGAGGATCGATGCGACAGCCGATGGCATTGCGATCGCGAGAACGAAGACGCGTGAGTGTCCTGAGAAAATTCGTAAAGTGCGCGAGGCCGAAAGAAGACGCTTCAGCCGTCGTTTAAACAGATCTGCCGGTTTACTGCGATCGGTCGGACACGCGTATCGAACAATCTCGCTCATTGTGACGCGCTGAAAAAAGAAAAGGAGAAAAAAGATGCGGGGAAGTACCTTCACTTAATGAACTGCTCGTGTCCGGCTCGCGCGTGTGTTGCGGTCTCGGTCTGTCAAATAAATCGGACTGACAGCTGTCACCTTTTAAAGCCGCGGTCGAAAAAATTGTTTAATATACGACGCCGAGCGCTTGTCGCACTTGCAACTCGGCGATTGAGTCGCCTCCGACCGCGGCGAATCGTCGTGACGACTGGGGGCTGCCGACTTTCAAATGGGGATGTAATTTTCAGGGGTGCGAGAGCACTCCCGACACGCATTTAAATTCAATCCGCTCGAGCGGTTATTTTCACGTTATTTTCCCCAAACGCGTCGATTTTTTTCTTTTGCCAGAATCGCTCGCTCTCCATGTGCCACGGTGGGAATTCGGAAATTGCCGTAAATTGACCGCGATGCCTTTATTATATGATTTAGAGAGAGAGAGAGAGAGAGAGAGAGAAAGAGAGAGAGAGAATAACTTCTTGTAACATTGGGGTCGCATCGATGAGGCGTCGACACGCGGAAACTCGTAAAGTACTCGCGTGAATATAAGTAAAGTACAATCGGATAATTAGGCGTCGCAACACTTATTTGGAGGAAAGTTTAATTTATTTTACGCTAATTCTCAGCAAATACACCGAGGAAAAAATAAGTAAAATATCTTTTTAATAAGGAGGGAGCGCGGATATCAATAATATATTTATTTAAACCTAAATTCTTTCATTTAAATAAAATGAACAATTGCTTTCATGAGAAACTAAGATTTTTTTTCTTAAGGCTTTAGGAAAATGTATATTTTCTTATTTGAAAAATATTTTACATCAGTATGAGTAAATATGTTATTAGTACTCGCCGCGAACAAATATTGACTATTTCTCGGCTATATTTTTTCTCTCAATCTACATTTTTTATCAGGATACATTGCGGAACTTTTCGGGGTGAAAATGAACGTTGCAATTTTTAATGATCCGACTAATCCAGAAAGAAGACGAGATCCACTGTGAAATGCGAAGTTCGCGGGGAACTCCGACTTCCACTTCACTCCGATCCACTTCACTCTGATAACGTGAGAAAGAAAATAGGACACACCGAGCGACACACTCGAGGGCGGTATACGTTCTGGCTTCGGAGTTTCGTCGCAAAGTCAATAGCGCGATAATCCGATCCGATTAATTCAATTCGATACCAAGTGTGAACGTGACTTACCGCCAGAGGACCAGTTCTTGAAGGGGAGCCGCGCAGGGGACGCAGATGGTGCGGGAAATCGTGATTCGGCGGAATCGGGAAAATCTCGCCAGGCCGCACCGCCCTAATTGGAAAACAAAATGTTCAACTAAGTGTTGCGCAATTTCATTATACGCGCTACGCTCCACGTGTAACGCGAATGGCCGGCTTAATTGCGAGGATTTTAAACAGGAAAATTCGTTGACATTCCGAACAAATTTCAATCGAGAGAAACCCGATATTACATTGTGTATTCTCCGAACACACGAGCGTCATTTACCGGCGACGACTCTCTTTATTACTCTCCAATTTTCATTGAAATTAATTTTGACAAAATGCAATAATAAACAGCAAGATTGTTTATCCATTAATGTACATGAAATTACTCGATATGCACGCATATACTTCGCAAATATTCTATTTGCAGTTTGACGAGTTATACGATTAATACGTTGCTTATTAAAATTAAGAAAAAAGATTCAACGCAAGTAGAATATTGAGATAACCGAATGATGAATAATTTATAAATATATCTTTCCTCCTTTACCATCCGCTTTTGTGCAGTGTACTCTCTACTCTCTTAAAGCGAATCAGTTAAACATCATTGAAAGCAGTGAATATATACTGATTTGCAGTTATAAGTATAGCACTGAAACTGCTCAGTGCTACAATAACGACTATTCACTGATTTACTTTAAAAGAGTAAATTCCTTGGAGCGAAATTCCACTCGGAAAGTAGAGTTAACGTCGAATCGCTCGAATTCGATTCAATCTCACGACACCGCGTGCGTTCGGTATGTCCAAAGTGCGACATCCAATGGTCGGAGGCAGATTTACGAGGGCAAACAGAGGAGCGAGCGGAGCCGAGCCGCGAATAATGCGACGCGTCATAATCGAGATCGTCTGTCTCTCTCTTGACCGCGTCATCGTAACGTGATCGGTGATAAATTCATATTTCCAAACAGCCGCGTCACGATCGCGGCGACCAACAAATCGTAAAGCAAACGTTAAGCGAAAACCACGCGTACTCACTGCTCGGTGGTCGGATGCACACACGCGCGTATGCCTGCGCCAAAGGCAGGACAATGTCTGCCAATTATCGGACGATTGTGCCGCGATGCCAACTGTCAGCGCTGGTCAAGTTGCTGGTCGATCGGGGGAGTGAGTGACCATTGCTTTAATCGATATGTCGTTAACTTTCCGGGAAACTGCTCCATCCGGCATGCTCTCCATTTCCGCGAGACGCAACTTGCGGCCTGCAACACTAAGAATCACAGCTCATTAAGTGGATCGTATTCGAACGAATGTCATATCGGGTATCTCGCGATGACTGCTCTTCTCCTTCGGATACCTACGAGATTTTTGTGAAATGTCTGCGGGATTTTTATCTTTAGAGAGAGAAAAAGAGAAAGTTTTATTTAAATTCCGAGAATTTTGATGACTTTTTAGAGCTTTTAGTAATGCAAAAGAATGCTTGCCGGATTCTAGACACAAATGAAAAATATTAAGAAAAGAAGACAGTAAATAAATTACAAATTATGAAGATCGTCGCGAATTTTTCGGGAGAAGATATAAAGTGGCATATATAATAAACTCGATATGAATACAGCTGTGGAAAATTGATACATAACCGGCAATATATGAAACTAATAATTCCCATCGCTTCCATCTCGCCCGTTTTATCGCCGCCAGTCGTATCCCGAGAAGGATCGCGGAATGAAGAGATCTCGAGTAAGCTACCGTGAAAACGTTATCGAGAAAAATAAAGGCGCTCCACGCTCGCGTACGATTTTCTTCCATCGTTCCGCCTCGATAAATAATTGCAAGGGGAAACGCGGCGAGCGAGGAGAACTTCGGCCGATATCATGTCTACGTGTGTGTGCACATTCACGTATGTATACATACATATATACACAATTTTCTTCCATCTTTCCACCTCGATAAATAATTGCGCGGGGCAACGGGGAAGCGACGCCGCGCGGAAATTCTAATATCGGTTGCGATCACGCCCGGGCCACGATCAGGCGAACATATCGCGGCGAACCATTCACCCCCTGCCACCCCCGGGGGCGCGGTAATCGCGTTTCGTGTTTTTCTAAGAGCGTACAGCCGGGTCATATCCACCGATCGGTCGGTCGGTCGGTCGGTCGGTCTCTCGCCGCCACAGGATTGGCACAGGAGCCGTACGAATACGTAATTTTACGCGTGTTTACTTTACGCAACGACGGCGAGAGGGGGTCCATATATCGTCGGCGCGGGGAGGTGTCTTCACCCCGTACTCCTCCGCCCGTTGTTTGTCCAGAAGATGGACTGACCAGCGGCGAAATCCACTCGACATCGGCGCGCGGTATATGTGCATGATTGAAACGAAATTATGAATAAATATTTGCCGATAGAAAGTACCGGGCCCTCCGCACTCTCGTGAGAAACGACAGACGACGCAGGTCGCCGATAGACCGTCGCGGAAATTCTGATATCGCCAGAAGAAACCGTGATTTCTCTTAATTCGTTTGGCGCGCACAAATTTGACGTCTCTTAATTCGTCGAATATCATCCTAATACAATTTGCTGAAAGATATCTTAAGCCTCCTGGCTCCTCGCCATCTTGATTTATGACGTCAGAAGAGCGAGAAACAATACACGCGCTAAACATTTTTGCCAAATACGTCGAAATGAAAAAATACAAAAATGAAAAGATATAAAATAGCTGTAAAATTAACGTGACAAAATCGTGAGGAAAAATAGGTTGGAGAGGTAGATCGCGTGTCACGTTAATTTTGCGGTAATGTTAAGACAACAGGAAAGTGTTCGGACTATATTACACATCTATTCAATTGATTGCAAGTGTCATTGTGGATACATTTTTTTTATTTTTGCGTATTTTGCGAGAACTTTTAGAGTGTATATTTCTCGCCTATCTTATAAATCAAGATAGCGGCAAGGAGACTTAAAGACGTCCAAGAGACGTCTTCTATTTCTTTGAAACGTCTTCAAGACATCTTTCAGTAATTTGTGCTGTCTGAGACATCAAACGCGCGGAACAGCTTTTTCACTCACAAACTGTATCGAAGCATGGCTGTATCTTCACAATTTTTTCCGAATTACCAGATTCACGATGATCTCAGATGAGATCCATCGTCGTTCTGTCGCCGCGTCGATACGAAAATTGTCGTACAATTGCGAGCAATGAAATTTTGTGTAATTGCGGGCAACAGATAGGATATCGTTCGCGAAACAGAACTATTGTCGCCTGCTCCCCCCTTTCCCGAAGTAACGCAAATACGCACTCCTCAGCACGTATGTGTGTATGCAAACGCTTCGATAGCGCCACGTGTCTTCACGTGCAGAAGTCGCGTGCGGACCGGAAGCCAGAGCCGGATACTTTGGCCCTGCTCACGGCCCGTAATGCGACGTACGATGTAAGTCATTGATATCGTAACCTGCACAACGCTTAATGGCTTGGTGACTCACGGACGACGTCCCTCTTCTCTCGAGACCGGGCTTTTTCAAGCTACAACGCCGAACAGTTGCTCTTTCTTTTCCTCTCTCGCGGTTACCTACATACACGGAGAAAAATAATTTTGTTCTTTTAACAAAATCGTCGTTGCTACTGCATATTCGTAGTGACATCAAAAAAATTTAGTTGACTTTTAGTTGACATTTAGTTAAACTAATTTTACAAATTATTCGTTATCAGAGCAGAAGTAGCCAGGATAGGAAAAATTTGTTGAGTGTATTTATCCTAAGAATCACATTAATTTGCTATTGATGCAAAATCATGTATCCTTTACAAATTTATTTGCTATCGGAGCAAAACTGCAAGTGCTTATATAAATCCGTCATGGTTCTTATAGCAAAATAATTTGTAGATTCAGCAAATTATATCCAGCAAATAGTGATTAATACTCTTAGCAAATCTTTTTGCTGTCCATATAATAACGAAAAAATTTTGCTAGACCAGTACAAAATTTGCTGGGCCAACAAATTATTTTTCTCCGTGATAAATTTCAAATATTTCTTCTGACTGCTTACATTCTCTCTTCTCGGTTACAAAATTCTGCAGTGATTGTTGCTATAAAATTCTCTCCGCGCTCTTTATCCGCAATGCGGGAAACACGTTCCATGCGAATTCCGCCGATAGAGACGAGAGCTGACTCGCGCCGAATTTAACAGTAACGAACGCAAAAGATTACATTCTTGTAATTCATCGTGAAAATAAGCAGTCACACGGATCTGTCGGCCGCGAAGAATGGCCGTGGTTCGACTCGCGGCCTTCTGCTGCAGGATTCCGGTTTGGCGAGGTGGAGAAGCGCGCGTTTACGCGACACCTATGGGAACCACGCACCCTCCCGAGCGCGTCCAGGAGACGATGAAAAGGCTCAGGAGGTCCGCGGGAAAGATATTACATAATGCGGAATAAGGACTGTGGGGTGGTTGTCGTGAATTCGGAGCGACGAAGAATAGTCGATTGGCGTGAGGTGCAAGAAAAAAAAACACTGCGGGCACGCGATCCACTATGCTCTCTTCTTCCCTGCCTCCCCCTTTCCCCTCTCGCTTCTCTTGCTCTTTTACTCTCTTCATCCACCTTCCCTCTCTGTTCTCTCACCCTTGATCGCGTGACGTGTGCTGGACGTGTGTGCACGCGACGCGCGGTGCACGTCTCGTGATACGCGCGCGTCGGCACCCGCTGCGATCGTCGTGTCCTTTTCATCGGCCTGCCCGGCAGCATGCAATCACTTCCTCATGTATTAGGGAAGTCAGCCAATTTCTTCGTACGAGCCACGTAAAGAGAGAGAAAGAGAGAAGGAGAGAGAGAGAGAGAGAGAGAGAGAGAGAAAGAGATCGCGGAATTAACCTAAATAGATTTCTATTCGCGGCGTATGGCGGGTGACTTCGCGAAACGCCGGCTCGCGTGTATATTCCCGCGAAGGATTACTGTCGTGATTTTCTCGCGAAACGGGTCTAAGTAAGTACGTCGCTGTGGCTGTCGTATTAATAGTCGTTACATGAAACTTGTTTCCCTTGAAGTACTTAGATTTTTATTCAGAATTAAATCCAAGTTTCTCAATCGAATCATGATTTACTACAGGATATCTCTCTGGCTGTTCATGACCTGCACACCCGTTGTATGCAGGTAGAACTCGTCAGACTGAACACGAAATTCCTTTACCATATCTCAGACAACCACGCAAAATCGGTGGAGATGTTAATTAAGGGAGACTGGCGAATGATCACACGCGATACGATGGATGAACTGATGACTTGAGTATCTCATTTGAGACGAATTTCAATTTCAAATAATAACTATTAATATAAACCTACGAGATGCGACGTCGACTCTTTGGGTTAAAAACACAATCACGGTTAATAATTAAGAAAACGATCAGAGACGATTAAAAATATATACAAATCGACGAGGACTTCTCGAAATTGTTTTCGTTAAATTACAGGATTTTCTTACGAAACCCGTAATTTTGCCCCTACAACATCGTGCCACGTACACTTTATGCAAATTCTCCCTCCGTTTTCCTCCTCCCGGCCCCACGCCTTCTTGTTCTCTCTCGCCCCCGCCCTCTTCCTCCTCGCTCTTTCCAATTTACCTTCCGCGTTCCACGTCGCATTATCGGTCAATCGCCGCTGAAAAGTTAACGATACGATTAGTCAGCTTCGTTCCCAGGCACCGATAATCATGCGAGCGCGTGCCGCGTACGATTCCTGTGTGAACTTTATCGCGCGATCGCACCCTCTCTCCCGCGCTCGGCCCCCACCTCAAGAGAAAGAGAGAGAGAGAGAGCCGCCCTCGACCCTTCCGAGCTGCCGACACGCGTGGACGTCTCCACGAGCGTGCGAAAGTTGCGCAGGGGGTGGTTCTCGCGGGGAGGGTGGCGGCGGAGTGATTTCATGGTGGCGTGCATATCACTTGGAGGGGGCGAGCTGAGCTGATTGTCTTATCGAATCTTCGCGATTTTATTACCGGCTGTCAAATGATGCGCGAAATGGGGAGAACGCGCGCTTGCAACATGGGGAAAAAGCGTTGCACAAATGTAGATTTCAATTACCAAGCTATTCCATTAGAAAGAGATGAGAAACGGTGGCAGAATCGCGTTCTCAGCGTTCTCTCGGGAGCGCTGAGGCGCGGTAGTTCGAGAATTCACGCACAGCAGCCTGCGAAAGGGCAGTTTCCGGCTGCCTCTTCCTTTCTCTTCGCACATCCGCTCGATCTGACGAGCGGCGAGAAGATCACTTCCTCGTCGGTCTCCTTGACCGAGTGCAGCAGGAGCCGTGGTCGCACAATCAAGGGCCCACACGCTCGTCAGCACGCACGCACGCTCGCACACGAGTCACCGCGGACGTTCCCACGAAAGTCGCCCCTCCTGATTTTCGTTTCCCCTTCGGCGGACAGCAACCTTCTCTGTCTACTTCTCGTTCTTTCATTCTCTCCCTTTCTCACTCTCTTCTCTTTCTCTCTCTCCCGTCGGGATGCTTTTCACCTCGACGGGCGTAGGGCCTCCGGTGCCCCACTCCACGCCGAAGGGCGCACACCTCCGATCATCCCCACTCGCCGACGACGACGGGCCACGCGGTCGTGTGTCGTCCCTGCGTCCTCCCGCACACGACATACGTCGGCCGCCACGCGACCAGTGCACACGCACATCCTGCAGCAGCATCTCAGCAAGCAAGCAAGCAAGCAGCAGCAGCGACGACGACGACCGGGGTGCGCGACAGTCCAGTCGCGCGCACGGCTTCTTCCACGAGCACGCCACGCGACCGCGAACGACGTCGGGAAGCCGCCGCACGTGAACGCCGATAAACTCCCACCGCCGTCGCGAAACAAGTGCCGGACCGATTGCTCCTTTCGCGCCCGCGAAACCGCTTCCGCGCCGCCGACCCTGCACGCACAGGACTCTGCCACGCGGACTCGAGAGAGACCGATAAGGGATCGTTGTCGCCCGCGACTTCAGTGATATCGATAAACCACCATTGAGCGATCCCAAGGAACGCGACTTTCGCGACACTTTCGTGCACGATGCGTGGTGATTGTGCGATCTGTCATCTAACTGGCGACTATCGCGTTCATATAGGACTGTCAGTCGTCTGCGGGATTTCGAAGATCTTTTGGAGGAGATGCTAGTTCATTCGTGAGACACGCTCACTTGACACAAGTCGTACACCGGAAATCTTAGACATTCGTTGCGAGTGTGTGACTTTTAATCGAATCCTTCCACTCGAGTTCAATTGACGAGCATTCGAAGTGATCGCAACGTGTGTCCTGCCGCGGGCTGACAGTAGACAGTGTGTCGATGCTTATCGAAGACCACTAACGATCGCGAACAACGTCGAGGATACCGCAATGCGGCTGCAATGACATCTCGCCTGTGCATCGTTATGGGATCGATAATTGGCGGTCGGTAGCGCGAGCGATCTCGACCTGTCTTCCCTTCAAGGAACGTCGTATCGACCTTTCCTTCCATCCGTCCGTCCGTCCGTCTGTCTGTACGATCATCTGGACCACGCGACAGTCCCGACAGGGTCCAAGCAACATGTGGCGAGTCGTAGTCGCGCGTTCCGACGACAACAGCACTCTTCTGTCCTCCGAGATCACTTCTGGCGCGGTCGCGCCTAGTCACCTGTCGACCTTGCCGGCGCCGCCGTCGGGTCACCATTGGGGTTACCCGCCGCCGCCTCATCATCCTCCCTATCAGTCGACGCAGCACCCGGACATGCGTCACCACCATCACCACCACCACCACCACGACATGCGCCCGCCGGGATCTCACGAGCTACGACATACCGCCGGTGATCTTAGGAGCCAGGAGCTGCGGCACCCGGAGATGCAGAGGCATCAGGAGCTGCCGCGCCACCATCAGGACATCCATCATCGATCCGACGTGGTCAGACACCAGGACGTCCGGCATCAGGACATGCCGGGAATGAGATCGGACATGCCAGAAATGCGTTCCAGTCACGAGTACTTGGAGCTAAAGATTGACACCGAGCTGAGAGCTCCAGAGAACAGTCAGCCGCAGCAGCAGTCGCAGCAACAGTCGCAGCAACAGCAGCAGCAGCAGCAGCAGCAGTCGCAGTCGCAGCCGCAGCAGCAACAGCAGCAACAGTCGCAGCAGAGCCAAGGCCACCAGCAGAGGAGCTTGAAGAGGGCCATGAGCGACTCCGACTGCGACGACGTGTTCTCGGAGGAGAGCGGCAAGGAACCGTAAGTATACTCGTCTGATCTCCCTATATCTTTCGCGTCGACCTCCGAGATCCGCGCGTCTGGAAAACTTGCTCGCGACGAAATCACCGTTTTGTTTTCGAGGTCCGTTGAAACGGACGATCGTTTGTGCCGACGCAACATATGTCTCTTTGTAGCGTGACAAAGTCGCAATTAGTCGCGGCATTGTTTCAACCCGTACGCCGGAAATTAACGAGCGCGTTCTGTCGCTCCACGAGGTCTCCTCATTAACAATACGTAATTAAAACTCTCGACCCTTTCTCTCACTCTTTCTCTCTCTTTTGCGCGCCCGCGGGCAGCTTTTTGTCTGTCGCGAGATTGACCTACCCTCGACGTTGATGTTTCAGATGCAACTCACCCGGAGGAGACTCCTGTCAACACGCGTCGCGGAAACGCAGAAGAGGGATGATCGAGAAGAAGCGTCGCGACAGGATCAACGCGTCCCTAGGTGAGCTGCGGCGACTGGTGCCGGCGGCTGCGAGAGATCCGCACAGCGGAAAGCTCGAGAAAGCGGAGATCCTGCAGCTCACCGTCGAGCATCTGCGTACGCTCCGCAACAAGGGTGAGTCTCTTCCCTTGGATTCTTAGACTCTCCTGTTTTCCCGCATTGAGAAAAGAATGCTCGAAAATTTATTTATGGAACATCGAGTTTATCAAAACAAATTTTCATCCCGCAATAAATTTTCAAGCATTTCTTCCTCAGAATACAAGTCATTCTTGAAGCTATTATTATTATTGTTTATTATTTGTCCGAATCCGACTCTGAGACTTTCGTAATTTTTTTGCAAATTCATATCGCGATCTCTGCGTATCCTTGCTAAAGGGCTATTCAGAAATGGAACACACTGAGAAAAAAGTACTCGAGATAAACTTTGTTTCAAAGAAGTAAACTTTTTTACAGGAATAAACTTTATATCTGACGAATAATGCTTCAAGCATTTTCTTCCCAGTGCGTTTGAAATGTTACAGCATTGTTGACCGACAGTTTTCAACGTCTTCTAATTCTTATTTCCGGATATTCCTTTTCTAAAGCGCGGCATTTGAAGATGAATAATTAGGTTTGTATTTAGTTTCTTAAAATCCGATCAGATGTAAATTACTTTGAAATGTTCTAATATTTTTGTGTGTAATATGCTGTGTAACAATCATTGTTAGTCGTATATTGTAATCAATTTAGCAAAATTGTATCTGCTGATTGCTAACTCTTTACCTATCAGCAACGTTCGAGTTAGTGAATTTCCTCGTGGTAGGTCAACAATGCGCTAACTGTGAGTTACATAACGGATGTGCAGATTACATAGAACGAAAGATATAACGGTGTCGAGTAATAAGAGCCGCGATTCCGGAAGAACCTGCCCTGCCCCGTTTTAAGCGCGCGGCGGAACTCGAGGACGATCCTTCGGGATCAATAAGACGTTTTTTTTGCTCAAGGTTTCTCAGACCCGGCGTTTTAATAACGAGCCACCGTGGAAAGAGTTGCCACACTCTCACCAATTTCACTTCTACGCCGTTATTACGTATCTCTGTATAGTCGGCGGATCTTTTTTTCCTCTTACACCGGAAGACACCTGTTGGCCGTAAAGGCCGACAGCAGTAACTGTAACTGCCTAACCGAATGCCCATCTGGCGTCTCTGCGTTTCCTTATTAAGCAGATTCGAGAGCGATTACCAATGTGGTCTCGTAAACGATACCATCGGAATCGATACAATGTGTTTCTAAAATTGAAGGCTGCTCCTGCCTTCGCATGTTATTACGAATTTCCGGTACCCAAACCCGATGTCCCCTTACGCAAAATAAACGCGTCATTTAAAACTTCCTCGTTACGAGGACAACACGAAATATCGTTTCATTTAATCGCGGTTTATCAATTGATCGAAAAAAGCCCTGCGAGAGAGAGAGAGAAAAGATTGCAAGCTCAAAATGCAAGCTTGAAATTTCTCACGCAATATTCCAATTGCATTAATATTGTTAGTATTACTTCGGTGACGTCGAAATAATCGCGTCACGCTACAATGTTTACCTCGTTATTGTCGAGGCGAGCGAGTTCCTCGAAATATTCAGCGTGAGACGAAATATCACGAGAGGAAGAGAGAGGAGCATCTCATGGAAAATCGCGGGGACAGCGGCATATGTTGGTCGTGAAGGCCGCGACGAGGAGCCCGAAACTAAACGGGATCCTCGAAGCAGGTGCTGGACCGGGCGCGGAGATCCTGTGGGAAGCACAGGAAGTCAACGACTCTCTGGAAGTAATGTTCCCACGATTGGTGGCGGGCCCGGGGGTGAGGTGTCCCGCGCGGCACCCCTCGCGAGGGAGGCGCTCGGATCCGACCTAGGGCAGATGTCGAACCCTGTGGGAAACCAGCTAACATAAGAGTGCACGAACACGCGGACACTATACGCGTCCGCGATTGTGCGCAGCCCGGCGCGCCGCTGCCTTGTTTGTAAATGCGTGCTCGGTCAAGCAAGGGGCGCGAGGCGCCCCGAAAATGTGCGATATTAAATTTAATATCGCCAAATAAAACGCCTGAGATCGAGCCTGCTGGACCGCGCGCGACCGGCCGAGGATTACGACGTCTCGCGTGACACGCTTGAAAAATGTTACGCACAGAAAACAAGAAGGATTTGGTTGAATTAACCGAATGTCTGATGAGATGTGAACATACCAGAATTCCGGCTAAAGTTACCAGAATTCTGTTCAAGTTAACAAGACTCTGGGTAACCAAACGAGACTTCTGTTCAACAGTTGCAGATTCTGCTTAACTAAGAATCTTGTTTGACTTAGTTTTTCTTGTTAACCGGTTAACTTGAACTTATTAACTTGAATAGAATTTTGGTAACTGAAAAATTCTGGTTTGTTTACACTTTTTCACCAGATATTTGGTTGATCCAACCAAATCTCTTTTTCCGTGCAATAATACCGTCTTTTATTCGCGTTCATTAATTGTAAACTGACGTCTTGTGAAGTTCTTTTTTTTTCGTGCTCTTTATGTGGAAAATGTCCACATAAATTTAACTTTAATTAATTTTCCTCGTATCCTAGCCGGTTTAATTTTGCTCAGATCTTAAATGACAGACAGTTAAAGTCCGAAACCACGTGGTCATCTTTCGTGCAAATGGAAGTTTCAGAATTTCGCGTATCGATACTTGGACGATGATCGATCGCGCGTAGTTTGACGCGATGAATGATGTTTGCGCAGCGCGGGTCTGAGAACTTGCATAATAACGTGGGACACTCTGCTCCGTCGCGGTGTGCGCGTATGTGTGTGTCTCGTATGAGGCCCGCGCGGCCTATGGGGGTCTAAACGATTCCCACGCTACCTGTCCCATTCCACGTGTACACAATGAGCCGCCTGCTGCTAAAGCCAAGGCGCCCATCTCGCCTCGGTGCACGTATGCCGGCATTGTTGTGCCGCGAAACTAAAACTGCACAAAGGACCTCCGTCCGCAGATGCACTTCGCTGTCGATCTACGAAATCGGAAAGAGATTCGGGAGACTCTCACGGAAAAGCCCGGAAAAGCCCGGAAATGTACCGCGTTGTTTGCCGAGTTCAGACGCTCTCTTTCAATACGCGATATATCTTTGACGTCATACGATTTCTTGAAGATGATAAGCGTCATGAAAAGATATAACGATTGGAAACATCGTAAATATGGCTCCACCGATAATTATCGGCCATTATCTTTGAACCCGACTAGAGATTATTCCATGGTCTTAATCAGGATAATCAGTTATTTGATTTGCATAAAGTAATATCGTCAAACTCTTATGAATCATATAACGCAGCGTGGCAATCAGGACCTTATTAATAATAAGGGTTACTAATAATTAGGGTCTAATAACATTGTTTTATACACTAACCATGTAACTGGTAAAAATCAACCTGATAGGATTTTAGGATAAATTTCTATGGAAATTTCGTTTCGCGCAATTTATCGCACGAAGAATCAGAGGAGGATTCGATTATATCCGAATATTAAAGATATACGTTTCTCTCTCCCCTAAGTCACGTCCAATTTTCAATTTCAACTATATCATTTTCTACTTCGCTTCAAGTTCCTTCACAAGATACTTTATCGCATATTTCATTCCATCAGCGTTATTTTTACACATTGTCACAGAATTAACCTCTTCTCTACGATAAGCCCACTATTAAAATCAAATAATGCTGACTGCTTCGATGAATTCACAAAGATGCAATATTTTTGGCATACGAGATACTCACTTGAGTTCTTGTGATTTTCGCAATGCTGGTCAATGATAACGTTGTAAATTCTTCGAGCAATCAAAATTGACAACACAGCGCGCTAACATCGAGACAGAAGGGGTTAACGAGGATCGCAGTTCATAATCTCACTTCAATAAATCATGCTTGCAGGACCGGAAGGATACGACAGCACGAAACTCGCGATGGACTACCACGCGGTAGGCTGGGGCGAGTGCGCTGCCGAGGTGGGTCGTTACCTGGTAACCATGGAGGGTCTGGACGAGAGGGATCCCCTTCGGCTACGGTTGCTGTCGCACCTGCAGAGCTTCCACCGCGAGCATCCGCCGTCGGGCGCTGTGCCGTCGGCGGTGCCGCCGGCCACGTCGTTGACGTCGTCGTCCACTGCCAGCGGCTACGACCCGCCGAGCACAGTCTCTAGCGGTATGCCAGCCGGACCAGCTAGCATGCAGCATCTTTTAAGCAGCAGCACCATCGGCTGGAGCCAATACCCGGGTCAGTATCCCCAGCAACAACACGGGAAGCCTTACCGACCCTGGGGAACAGAACTGGCATACTGATCTCGTAGTTGACGCGCGACCGACAGCGAATCGACCGGTGCAAGAGCGGTATAAGTCGGTGAAGTTTCAAGTAGAAAGAAAAACAAAAAGACCGCCCTCTTCAAAGGCTCGTTTATAACAATAATTATCCCCCGTGGATTATTTTATCGTTTCTACTTTACTTTTCTACTCACAGTTTACTAAGTGCAGTTGTAGAAAAGTTGAAAGGAAATATTACGACGTAGATGAATCTTTTATCAGTGCTTTTTTAATCAGCAAATAATTAGTAATAATATTTATTCCATGTAGAAAGAAGGTAAATCGACATTATATCGCTCTTCTATCGATCGCGTCGGCGTGTGGATTGGATAGAACTCAGTTACCGCGCTTTTCGACGTTCGTCCTCACGTTGATCGGTCGATTGTACGTCACTTCTCTCGAGGGCTCATCGATAATTTAGAGAAACTGTTCGAAGTTAGAGAGAAATGCGAATATATATGTGTATATATATATATATATATATAAAGATTTTCGATATGAGACACGTAGCTGCAACGTGAGAGGCAAACCTTATCGTTTTCGTGTACATACATGTATTTTTTACGATACTTCGACAGTGTATTTCAACGTATCTCAGGAATTCCGAGCGACCAAAACTGTATATCGATGTATTTATACAATGAGTGAGATAATGATAGTCATGCAAGTACCTAATTAGGATAATACAATAAATTATTGATACGGGCAGCGCGCGCCGGACTCTGTATATATGTACGGACTGTACATACGCTCGTGTAAATAATATATGACGTATTCGTAATGTTTATATCGGGTTACTTCGTAATCTCGACTTTACTGATTCGTGCACCGTCGTTTCTTCCGAGCTCGCGCTAATCGTCGGCGATAAGCGATTGCGCGAGCGCGCAAAGTCCAGCGAAAGAAGAAGATGAGAAAGAAATAAAAAAAAGAACACGCGCAGAGATGGAAGAGGAGAAACGGCCGTGGTACGCATGTCGGGACGTGCCATTACGCATTTCAGTGTATACATGTGAGAGAGGCCTGAGTATTTTTGCAATACAATTTTGTAATAAAACGATAACACGAGGATGCAAATAGAATATGGCCGGTACGTATGTAATTTCCCCTTTTTTCCACTTTCCCTCAAGGATGCTTGAATCGATAATACGCTTCGCGGAACTAATCGCACGAATAATAATCTCTGTGACATTAAAGAAGAAAAGAAAAAGAAACACGTCACGTTGGGGAGAAAGTCTCTATATATTCTTATCAGATCCGACGTTAAGTACGAAACAGGAAACTCGTAGACTCGCGCCGATCGATGGGGAATTCGCAAATTCGACGCTTACACTCTCTCTCTCTCTCTCTCTCTCTCTCCCCCTCCCCCATGTTTGCACGATTCTGGGTCGCGGCGGGACGATGTGGGCAAACCGCCTCTCCTGCCTCCTCGCCTCGTCGTACTTTTGCGTCACGCGCGCAAACGAGCGGGCTTTTGTGCGTTTTACGTACCCCTTGCTCCGCAAAACCGACACAAATTTGCGGACGAGAGAGCGCGCGAATTTACACATTTGGGGAGGCGTGTATGCGCGCCGCTTTTTTTCCCCCCTTTCTCATGCAAAACTCCCTTCGCAGACGCGGAATATTCCCGACCACGTAGAACAAAGGGGATTTACGGCCCTAGCCGCTCGCATTATACCCGCAAACCAGTTTCGCGGGTCGTTAGTTTCGCGACATAGTTCGCGAAACGCCTTTTTCTTTCCTTTTTTCCACCCTATTTCTCTCTCTCTCTCTTTCTCTTTCTCTCTTAACGAACTGCGCACGGCGATTAGTCGTGGCTATTTTCGCTCCCGCGCGCTCGCCAGCGCACGACGCAACGGCGAAACCTAATTTTCGGGCATTACCGATATTGCGCGGCCACGTGCGGCCCATTGTTCGGGCGTGCTCGTTACGCGCGATTTTTCTACGAGTCGCACGCGCGCCTAATTGCGAGACGCGCCCACGTAACGCGCGTTCACCTCGCGATCTTCCCTGTCAAAGCTCGACGCCGCTCGTCGAATTAACCGGCGTACGCGGACAATTCCCGGCGCGAGCTTCGTTCGACCTGGTGGACGTGCGAACATCGCGATGCGGCGTTGACATGGGGAGGGAGGAGGAGGCATAATTGATGAGGCAAGCCAAGTCAGCAAGACGCGCGTGCTAAAGTAAGTGGCTCATTTGGCGGATTAAATTGCATCGCGGATTCTTCGCGTGAATTATTGCGCGATCGTATCGTATCGCGGAGAGAAAAGAGGGGTCGGATTGGCATGACAGTGATGTAACTAAACGCCTATAGCAAAATAGAGCAGAATTTCTAGCTCCTATACGTAAAAAAATCTCAGTTAAAAGCGAATAAAAACTAACTGAAAATTAGGTGATCAAAAGCGATATCTCTGTTTTGAAAACTAATATTTCTGTTGTCACAACCGAAAATATTCGTCTAAACATTCAGCGATATTAAAACTCGGTTGAAGCTACTGAGAGTAATTGACTATACAGAAGCCTCATAAAGGAATTTTTCTGTTCCTACAACCGAGTTTTCGTATGATCCCTGAGCAATCGAAAATTCGGTTGCACCAATAGAATTGTTTTTTCCGTGTACGAACCAAATTCGGTTATTATGAAAACCAAAAATTCTGTTTCCTCCGACCACTTGGTTGCGTCAGTGTCAGGTTAATTCCGGCAATCATCTTTCCCCCTTCTGTTTTGACTGATGCATGATCAAGGGAATTATCGCATCGTCGTCATTATCGCTGAATAATCACAGCGGGACACTCGAAGCTGCATTTTCCTCACGAATATATCGCGAAATACTCAGCCGGATTTCCCTAACGGAAGAGCCAGAGGGCAAAAGGGGAAACCCATGGCTTCAGATTGCGCACATTCAAGACACTAATCGATCCGGTTTAATTAATTAATTAATTCGATATTAACATCAACATCATACACTGGGCGTAGCCTGGAACAGCGCGAATCGTCAGGGAAAGCGCGCGGGAGTCATTATTAAGTTATCCGCCGAATAAGCTATCGTCGTAGACACGAGTGAATTTCGCGAGCCACGGCTCGGTCGTTAGAACGCTATCGGGGAAAACGACGTGGAATTACGGGCGGCCGGCTATAGCCGGCTATAACCAACCCTCAATTGCACGGAGCTCGCGAATACAGGTTGCGCCGGAATGACCCGCGATCGGTGCAGCGCGGCGTAACGAGAAAATCGCGCGCGCAAATCGATATCATTACCAATTCAAACGAAGGACTCGCGTATCTTACAACCGGTCATATTATAGTACTTTCCTGACCAGTAGGTGTCCATGTGTGTGCGTGTGTGTGCGTGTGTGTGTGTGTGTGTGTGGGTATGGGTGCGTACGTGTGCATGTGTGTGCGCGGCCGCTAGTACACATGTTGCGCGATCAATGAAACCGTGATGACAGGGGTCATGGGAACACCGGGGGTCGTCAATAAAACCATTTTATTTATGACACTCACATCCGTTACAAAGTCACAGCCTTATCGACGCTTACGATAGAGTACCAACACGCACCGTACATCTACGTACACATCCATATTTTCGTGCGTTGCTCTATGTACATATAAATATTCTGCATCTATACACATAAGTCGTTAAAGCTCATCGTCATCATCTTCTCCTCCATCGTCATCTCCGTCTCTCTTGACTCGCTCGTTATCTTATTATAAATCAACCTGTAGGAAGAATAAACGCATCCTCGCTACTCTCTAGCGGAAATTAGAGACGCGCTTGAGCAAAGGGTGCTGAAGAGAACGATCGGAAAGAGTAGAGCTTGCTTCGGGTGATCAGGCCGGTGCGATTTTATTGCGTAAACGCCCTCGATAGCCGCCAGCGACCCGGCAGAGTCGCGAAAGTCATAGTAAATCGACATGGGAACCAGGGGCCGTTCGCGATTCGCGAAACGACTCTTGACCATCTCGCGAAATACGGCACGCACACGGGGAAAAATAGCATCCCACCGCTAAGAAAAGCGACTGCTCGCTTTAATTTCCTTCTTTGGTATACATATATAAGTAATGGTTCTCTTCAACAGGCAATATTTTCTTTTGATTAGCAGTCTTCAAACGTATTCATTATAAATTTTGGAAAGATTCATCGTCATGCACTCAAAAGTATAATCTCTTCTCTCTACAAGGACATTATAAAGTCTCATCGGAGATAAAGTTAGTTTAACTGAATGCAGTAAACAAAAGTGAATGTTTGTTTTAATCCCTTGGGTGGTATGCGCGAAAAAATGTCGCATGGTAAAATATTAAACTCCCTTTGATTTACTTAGACTATCGTATGTTTTAGCAAATATAACTGAAAATTAAATATTCCATCTTCCAAAATACTTCTACTTTCTAAGAAAATAGAACAATAAAAAGAAAATAAAACTGAATAAGTTTATTAAAAAGAAAGAGATTTACCATTAGGAGGATTGTACAGTCATTTTAAATCTTAAAGAGGCCAATTTCATATTCTCGAGTAAAATGCTAAGATTTTATTTGATACTTATGATGAACTCACGATAGCTTAGCGGACAAACAGATATTCGAAGCAAATGACACTCATTTGAATACAGTATGTATTTTTCTGCGTGTACGAGCCGCAATTCCTCTTTCCCGCCCTAGGATAAGGCCGATCAGTGTTTCCCAGCTGACTGAGGGCCGATTGTACATGTATCAGCTAACTAATCTCTAACAGTGCACCTTGACCGCGCGCGAAATATTGAACACCTAGGACGATTAGAGCAAAAGTGACGACAACATCGAGTTAAAAGATCGAATCTCCTCGCGCCGATAAGTGGCAGGAAGGATCCTTCGTGTCCTACACGAATCATTTTATATCGGATCGAGCGCTTCTCACCGATACACGCATGTATAAATTCGGCCGTTCCCGAAAATAGATACACACATGCGAGTGCGAGTGATGTTGAGCTAATTGAACAGACGAATCGCACAATTCTCCCCCGTCACCTTTCGCTTACTAATCTATCTAAATCTGCTCGAAATTCGTATTCGGCTCAGAGTAACGCCGATTAGAAGTATAAATTATCCCGACAGAGTTGAAGAGAGGTCCCGCCGTGCGAAACGTGTACATGTTGAGTACAGCGAATCGAAAGTAACTTATTGATCGCCTGAAATAGTTCGCGACACGCCGGTGAACTCGAGTACCGTACGCGAAATACAGTGATCAACCCAGGTTACACTCGGCACACGCGAGTGTTAATCGTACGAAGAATGGAAAAGTCCTATTATTTCGGCCGTCGCGTTCTCTCGCGCGCAAGAACGGACTAGTCGATAACGCGCTAAACGATATATGTGTATATGTGTGTATATATATTTTTTTCTTTTCTTTGTACTACGTCATGTATTGCTATACTCTATTACGAAAGAGAGGATGACGCGAAACGGCGCGTTGCTGTTTCCTAACGCGACGGGACGAGGAAACAAGACCGTAACGTCGACGCGAATAAAATGGGACTGTGGTAGCGCATTGCCGATCGCGGCGAATCAGTCGATACGATGGGCGCGATCGTTATGGGGGAGAGGGATAATCAATAAATAAGTCGCGTCGCGCTTAACGAACGAAAAACTGCGAGGCTAATATCGACTAAATGAGATCGAGGTAAACGCGAGCGCCTCGCGCCGCAAACAAGTGGACGATCCGTATGGAAGACTAACTGGAAATAAATTATCGTCTCTCCGTCGCGCGCTGTTTTGCCTCTCGACGAACGATAGGAGATAGACGGTCACGTTACGACGATTGCGATGATCCGAGGGGCGGCATATGATCGACGTGGCAGCTTTTTTATTTTCCTTTTTTTTTTAATTAAGCCTGCTGCCGAAATACGACGTCTCGAAAAATAAGAGCGCGCCCCTGCGTGGAACGGATTGCGGAGGGATCGTGATTAACCCTTAACCGGTAACGGGAACGGGGGAGTCCCCCGACTGATCTTCTCTCTCGGGACGCTCGTGAACTGAGAAAAAAATACTTGAAATGTTGGGAAAAATATTTGACTTATGGGATGCGAAAGTAATCCCCAGAAGTAAATTTATATCCCACAAGTAAATTTTCAAACTCAGAAGACAGTTTCGATTTCAGAAAGAAGCTTCATATCACATAAAAAGGTTTTCAAGTTTATATTAAGGTTCGGCAGATATTTTTAATTTCAGAAATAAATTTTATTTCAGAAACAAACTTTATTTCAGAAATAAATTTTATTTCACAGAAATAAACTCTACATCCCACAAATAAATTGTTCAAATTCAACTTCAGAAAGAATTTTCAATTTCAGAAACAAAATTTAAAAACAAACTTTATCTAAAAAATGAACCTTATTTTTCAGAAATAAACGATATTTCACAGACATGAACTTTATATTGCACAAATAAATTTCCAAGTTTTTTTTCTCAGTATGTATATTGCACTCGCAGTCACAATATCTTCTTTACCTTCCTTTCTATTTTTCTGTTTACGAGCAATCGTATCCGCGTCGAGAGTCCTTACGGAGGCGCGAAGGAAAGCGACGGACAAGTAGCCGCGCGTGTCGCCGGTCAAGGGTTAAATGTCGTTTCGACGTCGTAAGCGCGTAATTCACCCGGACTCGGCCGGGGTCGATCTCGATCGCGAGATGAACATACGTACAAACGAACGAACGAACGAGCCTAACGACACGGACGTTAGATTATCATCTCGTTCTCCCGGTTCTCATTCCTCTGGTTCTCCTCGTATTCGTCGCAGCAGCAACAGCTCGACGTGCAGTCCTCCGAGTTCTCGGCCACGTACGTCATGTACGTGTCGATGCTTTTGGCGTCTAAGGACGGCAAGGACCACGAGAGCGAGGTCGTCTCGAGGTCGGGGATGGCCGTGTGCCAGGAGCTGGGATTGCGCGACCTTTTGGCCTTGCGGCTCCTGGTAGACAGCTTCTTGATCGCCTACGGAGCGAAACATAACACGCCCTGGTAGCAAGAGTAGGAAAGCAAGCGACCGGGAAACGTGACAAGACGACACGACGAGGCAAAGTCTCTGGCGTCAACGCGACTTCCCGCCGTTTCCTCGGATATACGGCTAAAGTCCATCGACACAGAACACCGCGCACCCGACCCGGACTGGCACACGCAAGAGGACATTGATCCGCGATTATTCAACGTTTCGCGCAGAAATGTCACGACAATTCGTGCAAGCTCGAAATTTGATCTCGCGCGGAAAGCCAATAGAACAACGCGACGAACCCCCCTCGCGAGAATCCGCGTGGAACGCGGAAGAAAAACAAAGAGGAGGAATAGAAAGAGACGGGTCCAGAATACGCAAATTGGAACGACCCCGATCGAGCGTGCGAAACGCCGGAACCGGTCAGGTGACACCCGGTAGAATTAGGTCGCCAACCATGCGCGCGACGGAAATGTGCGTGCGTACGTTACGAGAGACAGCGAAACGTCACGATCAGCAAGGATAAACTACACTGGGAACTCGTCGTCGTCGTTGTCGTCATCAGCTTACCCGCAGGATCCTGCGACCGGACTTGGTCAGCAACTTCTTCAGCATCGCGGAGAGAGAGAGAGAGACACCGGGGCAGCTAGCGCGCGACGGTGGTTTCTACCTCGTGGTTAGGCCCTCGCGACGCCTCCTCGTCTTCGGGGTTGAGGCGGACAGAGAGCGCGAAGGAGCGGCAGAGAGAGATAGAGACAGGGAGAAAGAGACAGAGAAAGAGAGGCCTCACCTCGCCTGATTATTTCTCTACTACGCCGCGCGACTGTATACGCGCCGGATTGATTTTCGGCCGTGTGCGCGAACGCCTGTTACCCGCCCTGCGCCTACGTTCACCAGCACGTCGGATCGATGCGAACGTCACGGCGTCACGCGACGAAATACCGCTCCGGAGCGGCGTGCCGTCCTATTTATAACCTCGGCCGTGCCGGCCCGGACTCCGCCGGCGTCACGATCACCCCCTCGACGTACGCGACGCGCGTCATGCCTCCTTTCCCCCCGTCGCCGACGTGTGCAAAGGTGGCCGAGAACGCCGTGGCTCGGCACCCCCCCGCGGGACCGCGCGAGCTTGCGGATATTACCGCAAACCCCGTGTGATCTCTCGGGAGAACTTCCGAGCGAGTTTGCGACCCGCTCCGAAACCTCGACGAAAGGCTGATCGGGCAGGTGGGTGGGGCTAATAAGAGGCCGGTAATAGCAAACGCGACTCGGAGCAACAATAATTTCCACGGCGAAGGGGTTGATTTTTCGATTTCTCGAGCGGCGAGGAGACGCTTAATCCGCGAACGATACTCCGCGGAAGCAGCTTTAATTTGTCCGTGAGGATCATACGCGGGATATCGTCGATGTGGGGGTTGGTTGGGTGGCGCGAGCAGTAATTACAAGCCGCAAACGAGAGAGCGTCGATGGGCCCGAATGGGACTGCTCGAGGTGTTGGCAATTAATCGACGAGCCGCTCGGTAACGAGAGTGCACGCGTGTCGTGCGTGTGCGCGACACACCGTGATGGAACAGTAGAACGCGCGCCCAATGGCCCATGGGGATTGGGAGTAAGGACGAATTGGATTAATGCGCGGGTGATCGACGAGTATCGACTGCCGATCTCGGTCGGAAACCAATAACCGACTGACAAGAAACGCCAATCACACGCGTTGGTAGCTTGAATGGAGCAGTTCAACCACGCGCCAGATAGCGTCACGACGGCCCGGGTACATTTTGTCAAATTGAAGTTCAAAGGTCGCCTCCACCTTTTTCTATCTCCACTCGCTGGAATACAGCGAGTGTTCATGCTTCACGCTGAAATGCTGTACTTATAACTGGACATCTCAATCGTGTAACGTGAACTTGTGGAAAGTGAGAAGTTTCACTTTTGGCGGTCATGCAACTTCTCGAACAATGTAAATATGAAACTTCCCACGTGAAACTTTTCACTTTTCTGCTCTTAGAAACAAGTTATATGATCGATACTCCGATAGTTTAGTTAGAGTATAAGTATAGCATTGTAAAATCTCGCTGAAAGGGATAACAGTAAATAGATTGTTGCTATTTCCTATTGTCGTTGCATTTCCTATTGTCGTTGCATTTCGCAAATGCAATCGATGTCGTGATACGTAATTCGCATGGAAGCCGTTAATTCCATCGCAAATGATTTAATTCGAAATAGAAAGTTAGGTGTTGAACAATGTATAACAAACTCGTGCATTGCAGAGAAAGAGGGAGGACGAGAAATTGCGCGAAAGAAAAGACTAACGCAAAGATCGCAAAGACTTCAAAAAACGTATCGAAGTGCAGTCGAGAACACAAGCGAACTCGTTCATCGAGACCCGGATCGTTTCGCTCAGTCTGTTTGCCGAAAACGATCACAGGAACGACACTGCGTAAAGCGCAAACGCACACGCGCACACGTGCGTGCACGTGCATTCCGTGTGCATGCGGCTTTCGTATGAATGCGGCACGCCGTCCATTTGTTATCAATTCTCCCGTATCCATTTGTGGATTAAATGTAATCGATACTGCGTCGCGCGAAATAAATGTATGCGACGAGCGGAATTCCATTTCGCAATTAGCGAAATGATCGCACAATGGACGTCGCGCGGACGTTTTGAAACGAGATCAAATCCGCCGCTGCTTTCCGCCTCGTGTGTTTTTCTCATGTGCGCGTGTAACACGAGATAACATCACACACGATTGAATGACAAATGACGAAAATTATTTTCCTGCATTATTCGCGAGAGACGCGACATCCGATCAGTGCGCCGTTTCGCGACAAGTCGGAGCGAATGCGTGAGCGCAAGTGAATCCCACAAAGAGAGATGCATCATACACGCACTCTCGCTCCCTTTTCCCTCTTTCTCGCGGCTGCGTGTGCGCCACACACGTGCGTGTCGTGTGCGTGTGACGCGTGTGAGCGGGGCCGTTCTCACGCGGCGGCACGCGCCGTTCGCTTCCCCCTCGCTTCCCCACTCGCCCGGCGCGCTGCACGCCGGGCCACGTGCCACCCCCGGTGGGGGTGCCCCAAACGAAAAACTCATAATTGTCATAACATTCGAGCGCGCACCGTCGCCGAGCGTGGAAAGATCGTCGCTCCCTGGAATTGAATGCATAAGTGCACTCCGGGCTCATCAATGCGGTTCCGCGACCACGCCGATAAATCTCCCCGATTCCCTCTCCCACGCATTGTCTCGGAATTAAAATCGCGCTTTGTCGGACCTTTGAACATTTTAAGTCTGTCCTGTTCAGCATTTTTTGTCGTCGGAGTTAGATGAGGAAAACTGTTATGGTCGTTACACTGAGAAACTTAACTTCTCATGAAAGTAATCGTTTGTTTTTCATTCAGACAAAAAAATTTAGATTTGAATAAATATATCATTAGTACCCATCGAATAAATATCTCTTATCTTTCAGATATTTTTTTCTCTCAGAGCAGTCATATCAGAACAATCAATTATATAACAATCAGTTATAGTGAAAAGAATATGGTTAAGAGAAAAATTGATATGAATTCGTTGTTCTGATGAAATAGTTATTGCATTAAAAATTACTCGGTTGGAAAGCTTCAGCGTAAAATTGCGAAAGATTTCTCAATCTTTCAGAGCATATCTTTTTTTAGACGTTGCTTGCATTTTCTATTTACGGCCACGGGGCGACAAAAAGATACGAAGGCGATGCGGTATTTTTGAAACGGCGGGTTCAAAGTTCAATTAACTAACGTCAATCAGTGTCGCTCGTCCGAATGAAACTCGTCGCGTTATCGCGAGGCGACAGCTGATGACGCGCCTCGACGGTTGAGGTAACAAAATCACGGAGATAACTCCCGTGTTTTCGCAAAGATTACAATGCGCCTGCCCTGCCCTGTCCTGTCCTACCTTTACCCGACCTACGTCAATTATAAATGGACCGTATCATGTCCAAACGCGGTTGTAAGCGCACGGAGCGCCCCGTAATTCGCGTAATTCGCGGACGCGTGAATCCCGTGATTCACTCCACGCAATTATCGCGACGCATTCGGCCCGCTCTCTCGCCTTCCATGCCGCACAGACTCTAATCATTTTTGCGCCGAAGACGAGGGGAAACAATCGCCAACGGCGACGGGGCGTAACGAGCGGCGCGTGGCGCGGTCGCGTGGCTACTAATGCGCGCTCAAACATCGCGGCTCGGCGAAAATAAGTCCGACCTAATTGAGGCGACCGTTCCATTAGAGATTAGACTTCAAACGAAGGGCCGTCGCGCCGACCAACCGACCAGTTGTCCTTCGAGGGCCATGCGCGATTAATTAACACGCAGGATCATGTTGCGGTGTAAGAGGCGTTCTTGTCTCTCTGTGAACAAATGTATACGACTGGAGTCTGGAAGTCAATCATGAATCTTTTGCCTCAGCGTGAACTCGTGAAAAGTGAAAAACTTATCTTGGAAATATATGAAAATGTGTTCACTTTTCAAATGAGTTTACGTTGGAGGAAAAGATTCACGATCGTCTCCATGTACTGCAAAATTGTCCACTTTCTAAGTTGCTCTTCTCTCTCTTTACGAGAATATTTCTTATTGTACCAGATTTCTCTCTCGCACAATATATATATATATATATATATATATATATATATATATATATATATATATATTCTTTTATATTAAAAGTTTAAATATTTGTACTTAAAAAGCAAAATAATAAAAATATCCATAATTACACACCCAGGATTATACATTTAGGTATTACTTTTATCTACTTAAATCGCGGGTTACAGAATATCTATCTTCCATTATCGAAATATCTCGATAGAGATCGATAGACTGATCGATCGATTCGCTAAATTTTTAAGACGTATCGTTTCTTCCGCGCAATCTTATTGTATAATTATTATATTATAACTAATGACATGGGAACACAGAATTCGATTTCTAATCTCTTAAAGTGAATCAGTGAATAATCACTGATATCACTTATAATTATAGCACTGAGCAGTTTCAGTGCTATACTTATAACTACAAATCAGTGTATATTCACTGCTTTCAATGATGTTTCACTGATTCATTTTAAGAGAGTGTAATTTCATGTACCGTAATGTAATACACGAGAGTACTCAAAGATTTGTTATAAGAAAATTATATATATAGCTATACAATTAATCCCAGCCCGAATCTATCTTGCATTCGATCTCTAATCGAAGCACAACGGAAGGAGCATATATTTGGGGTTAAGTTAATTTAGGTTATTTTTCGTCAACTCAAAACATAGTCTCTTTGCAGAGACAAATTCAATTCTCAATTGCAAACGAGAAAAGAGGATAAATATACAATATAACGCTTCTCATTTTGAATTTTTTCAAACTTTGTAAATTTGTATATTTTAGGGTGTAGAATTGATTTCTGAAAACAAAAATTTTCACTAATTTTTTGTTTTTTTGTTTCTTTTATTTTAATGTTTTATGATGTCGGTAAGAGAGTAGGAAAGTGATAACTTTTATTATAAAACTTTCTAACTTGTGTTAATGTGTCTAATTATTTAAGTTTTATAAAATAGTATATGATTAAAGCAGAGAAAAGCATGTATGAACCATTCTCTGCTTTATAACAAATTTTATGCTTTTGATTAAACCCAGACAGAACAAATCTTCACAGAATATCCTAAAAACATTCTCAGAATGTTCTTACATCCTGAGAACGTCTTCAGGACATCCTCCAGAGATCTTGTGCTGTCTGAATTTAATCAAAAGCATAAATTCTGTTATAAAGCAGAGAATAGTTCATGCATGTTTTTCTCTGCTTTAATCATATATATTATTTTATAAAACTTAAATAATTAGACATAAAGTTAGAAAGTTTTATAAGGAAAGTTATCACTTTCTTACATCATAAAACATTAAAATAAAGAAGCAAGAAAACGAAAAATAAGCGACAATTTTCGCCTTCAGAAATCAATTCTACGTATTAAAATATACAAATTTATAAAGTTTGAAGAAAATCCAATGAGAGCATTATACTGCATATTTACCGAAAAGAAAGCAAGATTGATTGACTCACTCTGAATCGATGTCATCCGTCGAGTCATCGAGATCCACGTCGTCGCAGGTTCGCGCTGTGCGGGTCAGGAGGTCACGGTAATCCCGCTCGTTAGCTGGTCGTCACACGTCGCGCGACTTTGAAACACTAATCGCGCTCTTGTCACAAACGCGTCACGGAATTGCGTGAGCGTGCCGATATGTAAACACTCAACAAACACGCGACACGCTCGTTTCCGCGTAAATATTTACCGAGTCCCGACGCAACCGACACGCACCGGGCGCACGCACACACTCGCTTGAAGAACGTTTGAAACAAGATGGCGGACAAGAGAATCGATTGATAGTCGATTAATCACTGTCAAATTGCAGACTGATCGTTCCGCACTATCGATCGATTCACGATTTGATTCACGACTGATTCGCTCAACTCGATCGTTCCTACCGCGCGATACACTCGCGAGCTTTGGTTGCATATATCGTATCGAGAGATGAATAAACAAACAAATTAATAAAATAAAGCAGGCACGAATATCTACAAAGTGAATACCAAATTTAACCTCAGGACGCCATGCAATTAGCTTATGACGACAAAAAAGCAAATGTATAATTTCAAGACGCCATGCAATTAGGTTATGACAATTTTTTCATCGCACATATTATTAAATGGTTATTTATTAATCATTCAGAGCAGCGACCTGGTTTAACATTCTCCAGAAACCGATATTTGTGATGAAGAAATGCCATTAATTTCATTACGTTTCAAGGCTACCACGTCGGTGTAAACAAAATAAGATGAAAGTTTGACAAAAATTTCGATAAAAATTACATCAACCGCTCGTGACGTCTGATGCCGCGATAAGATGTCGCAAATGTGTCTCGAATTTTTGGCACTCATATTCGCAATTCGCTTGATGTAACGTTACCCCCCATTCCGCATCAAACGGCATAAATATTATTTTCGACAGACGTCACACATCAGAAGAACAAACACTGTTTGTTGGCGCAAAATATCACACGCGCAACCAACGATTGAGGTTATTAATAGCTACAAAAATAACAATGAATTTATGTATAAAGCGTCGAGGGTCAAGTGTTGAACACATGTATAGTAATATATAGTGAGTTGTTGCTAAAACGCAAAATTAATTTGATTACATACTGAACTGTCAGTTGAATTTCGAGATATTTATTAGCAATTCAGAAAAAACTGCAAGATATTACAAAATGTTTATTAATTATCGGCATCATTTGTGGTTATTAAAATGCAATAACATTATCAGTAACGAATATTACAAACAAAACATGGAGTTAATTGCATTAATATCACTAATTGCAAATGCAATATGAACAAAATAAAAAAAAAGGTTTTAGGTGTTACAAATATTCGCAGAAAGAGACACGGATTCTATTATGCAACATTGCGCTAATAGCGTCAAGACGCTGAAATCTGAACGATTTAAATTTATGCGCAAAGGTGCTGCGCACGGGTTTAACACTCGACGCTCGAACGCTTGCATCTAATAGCACCTTAAGACGATTATGACAAGCATACGCACGCGTTAAAAACGCCTGTTCGCCGCGATCTTCCTGACTTATGACGTCATAAGCAAGAAAACGCATGTCCGGAAAAATTCCTGCAAAATGCGTCGAAATATATAAAAAGAAAATAGCACAGAAAGTTTGCAAGAATTTTGGACATGCATTTCTTCACATACTTCTCACGTCGTCAAATCAAAGGAGGAATAAGCAAATGATCGGGAAAGCGAAGCGATCGTACGTACGCAAATATTAGCACCGTGGGAAAACTATGTTTCGTGTGTCGCACGCACGACGGACGCGTGGCAAACGGAAGCCCAGCGGCCGGACGAAGAGTGAGAATGTAAACATTGGCCGCGCGCAAATTCCCGGCTGTGTATTTACATGAGGTGCTTATCGCCGACCGAGGCGTGCTACAAAAACTAGACAGGTGTACGCGCTCGCGATAAAGAGAAAAAGAGAGAAAAACATTCACATACATACAAAATATAATCATTATCGTATAACAAATGCATTACTCGAGATATGAAACGCAATATTAATCGGCCCGCAGTTCTATTCAGAATATCTTTTTTTATTAAAAAATACAAAAATAGAAGTTACAAAGCAAGATTCTCCCTTACAATACTTGTAACAAATATGCAATCTCTTTGTTTCGTAACATATACAGTCAAAAAAACTACTGCTATGTATACCTTAATAGTTTATATATCAACAGTTTATATATTACAGTCCACGTATATATCTATATTGTCTAATAAGCGATTTCGGATTTTTTAAATCAAGCAATTATCGGTGTTTTGTGTTATTTTGATATTATAACAATCCGATGGCAATGCCGTTAAAAATTTTTATGAATGCCGAAAAGATGCAGTAGATTAAGGAGCGAGAGCAAGCAATAAAGAGTCGCGAATTAGCAGAGATAAAAATGTATGACAATATCTACGCCGTTTCGACCTATGGTATTCTGCCACCCTTTACAATGTTCCAAAATTGTAATTACATCAAAGTCCAATCGTCTTATATTACTTAAAACATCCGAAATTGCTTATTACACAACTCAATACTGCATAGACTACGTGTATTTGCACATACATCAGACTAGTGCAACAATCAAAGAAAATGAGTAAAATGGACCAATTTTTGCCGAAAAAGTATAACGTTATACAAATTACAATCTTACATTGCATTTTTTTGGCAAAAATCTGCCCATTTTTCCCATCGCCTTTTCCATAATAAATTCTTTCGTTTCATTTATATAAACTATAAATCTATTTCGAACAGGTAAATCTATTGTACGCTACTTCGAATAGAAAATATCAAAATCACAATTTTAATTATAATATTACTCATCGAGCAAGGACGTGTGCAATTTATCCGGATCATAGGGGATCGTCTTCTGATTGCCTGGTAATAATATAGGAATGACTTTAACGCGAAATTCATATGGCATGAAGTCACGACAAAAGTTATAGAAATCATTCCGAGTGTTGATGATCTGCAAACGAGCCATCTCCTTCATCAGGGCCTCCAGCTCGGTTTTGTAGCTGTTGTACTTTTTGCGCCGCAAGATCAGCGTGACGATCTTGCTCAAATCTCCGACGAATTTTTCCGACCGTATTCTCGTCGACAGCTTGTACTTTGTCTCTAGGCATTTCCACAGAAACTTGTAAAGGCGATCCGTGGCCCACTGCTTCGGACGCAGGAGCTTCGGTACTTTGTACACCTCCCCGTTCACCAGATACGCGGGGTCCACCTTTTTCGCGGAAGTGACGGGCAATTTTTTCTTCTTCATAATTCTCCCTGAAACGACACCTGAGGCCTTCACGTTTGATGCCAATTGCTTTTTATCGATTTTGCCGGCGTGCATTTTCATCTCGGCTAATTCACGACTCTTCATTGCTTCCACTCGCTCCTTAATCTGTTGCATCTTCTCGGCATTCGTGAAAGTTTTCGACGGCATTGCCATCGGATTGGCCCGCTTCTTATCTGGCGAGAAATACTTGTTCAATGAAGCAAGAATCAAATAGATAAAATAAACCAATTTTTGCTAAAAAAAAAAGTATAATGTGAGTTATACACATTATAATCTTACGTTACACTTCTTCGACAAAAATCGGTTTATTTTTTCTATCGTCCTCCTTTCTCTCTACTATAATAAATTCTTTCTTCATTTTTCTCTTTTCCAGAAATTATTCTACAAAACGCTTCCAGAAATTATTCTACAAAACGCTTCCAGAAATGTTATTCAAATTTCGTCATCTAGTTATCAAAGTGTGTAAAATCACATTTTTGTGACCTGTATTTGCTTTTTCAATAATTATCAAAGTGTGTAAAATCACATTTTTGTGACCTGTATTTGCTTTTTCAATAATTATCAAAGTGTGTAAAATCACATTTTTGTGACCTGTATTTGCTTTTTCAATAATTATCAAAGTGTGTAAAATCACATTTTTGTGACCTGTATTTGCTTTTTCAATAATTAACCCCAAAATCCAAGAAAACATCCCATATTCAATCATGAAGCATATTCCTTCATCTGAATATAAACCTCATATCATGAAATAAGATTATGAAAAAACAATAAAATTACCTCTAATAATTTCGTTATCTTGATCGAATAATCGAAGAATAGCGTTACTTCGGGCCGAGAGACGGACGCCCGGACGTACCGCAGCGCCTTGGACACGACCGTCCGGCGTACTCTGCCCGGACGGAACAGATGACGAACGCTTAGGAGGAATGACATTTTCAGATATATTCCTCAATTTTTCTCTCGATATCGAATTTACCTTTGGAGATGTGATATTTGTATGGCTAGATGTTTCTACATAGATAGATACATCTAGTTCTGGAGAAGCACGATTTCTAATCGACATATTTATATTCTTTTCTCTGCTACTGTCGCTATGTTCTTGAAGTACGTCCTCGAATGGATTTTCGAATGAGCTTATATCAAGTGCACGTCTCATCATTCTTGTCTTTGGCTTTAAGATAGCAGATCTCTCGTTATGAACATTATAAACATGTGGCGATAAATTACCCAACATGTCTTGCTTGATTTTATCTTGCGTTTTCTTACTTGACTTCCTAAGTGCTTTAAAGAATTTCGATCGTGGGCTTGTACTCTGCTGATTATCCGAAAAATCACTCTCAGAATCATCGACTACAATTTCCGAATGTAATGACGAGACCCTTGGCATCTGGTCTTCTATATCACGAGTCACGGATTGAGTATCGCCTTCTTGAATCATGTCTCTACCTCTTGGCAAGCTTGCATCACTGTTATCAGCGAAAACAGCTTCGAAAGAATTCTTTTTTTCTTGCATATATTGTACTTGAGACTGCATTGCTAGACGTCTTTTTTTAAATAAATATCGATTATCTTCCGGTGTATTCACACTATCAGACATAACATGTTGTTCAACATTTGAATGTTGAGCTTTTACTGGACTTTTGTTTGATAAATTTAAAGAGTCAGTATGTCTTCCATCAGATTTTCTTAATCTAGGTTTATTTAATGTTCCATCGCTACACCTAGAACTATTCATTATATATCTCAATTTCTCTGAAGTTAAATTATTTCCCTCTTCAAGCGTTTTTCTTAAAAGCCATGGTCTTGACTTCAAAGGAATATCTGACATTGAATCTTCACTATCCTCTTTTTGTGACTTTTCCTTTTCTTGTAACTTTATTGGTGACATTTTATTAAATGAAAGATTTCTCGACACATGGGATATATCTGTTGTTTCATCATGTGAGATACGACGCTTTTTAAGATTCAATACGTTGAAAAAATCATTTTGTTTGCTCATTCTATCTCCGATCGTTAAAAGACCTTTCTTCTTTTTTATACTAATTTCTTTCTCAGATTCAGATGTTTCCAAAACATTATTCTTTACAATTTCTAAAAAAAATATATATACATACACATATATATCATTAGCATTAACATTATATAGCGTGTATATCCATACTATACAAATTTAGTATTATAAATTTGATCATACCTGCACTCAACTGTCCTTTTATGTTACTTGAATCATTGGATTTATCAGGAGGATACACTAATAGGACCGATGAATTTCTTATTGTTGGTGGTAACAACTGGTTAATAGTATTAAGACTAGATGTAGTATCACGAGATATTACAGAATTACTTGGCACATGAATCCTCAATGGTGACAGTTCTTCTATTTCATGCCACCAAAGTTTATCTGTAGATGCTACAAAAAAGAAATTCAAACATATGCTGACATTAGATGTATAATAACATAAGATGTATTTACTATGAGAATAATTTTTAAGTTAAATTTCTTTGTATCTTTAAAAAATACTTTTTACTTTAAAATATTCTATTACTTTTCATATAATTTGTTTTTCTCTCTTTGAAAAATTTTTCTACAAAAATACTAGTGCAATAAATTAAAATGAGATAAATATACTTTTTCTCACTCTAACTTATTGCACCAGTTCAGCAGTGCAGCTAAAAAGAACAGAGCACTAGTTATTAAAGGAACGTGCAAAATCACAAGGGTATAATGGCATTGGGACAGAATTCTCTGTGAAGCCTCTGTGAAACCTTTAATATATTACCATATATTAAAGAAGAAAAAGTGCAAAATAACAACATTTTTGTGACCTGCATTTGCTTCTTCGATAATTAACCTCAAAATGTAAAATTAAAATGTCCCATATTCAACCATGAAGCACTTTCTTTCACTTAAATAAAAAGCTCATATCATGAAATAAGATAATGAAAAAAAATACTTTTACCTGTGCTAACGTTGTCCGTATCTTCATCGAGAATAGCGGTATTACTGGAACGTTTCTTAGAAATGCTGTCTTTTGATTTAGACATGTTTGAGGTAATCTGACTTACGTACGAATTGATAATTTCTCAAGTCGCAAAATCTTATTCCTAGAACTCAAAACAAGAATATTTTAAAATTTTAAACGCCTAACATTATTGAATCAGAATTAACATCAAACACAATCCCTTTTTCTCTCAATATATGGTTCCAGGCATTTAATAAAATTTAATGTGTCTTAACATTATTCTATAATAGATAATAAAATTTTAAGCCATTGGAAATAATCTAAAATATATTTTAAAAAATTACTGGTTTTTTACGTTCAAACAAATTCGAACATGTCCTCACGTAACAAATACCTCAGGCAAAACTCAAATTCACAATAGCTGCGTTCCTTATTTACTGCGAATCCTGACCGTCCTGATGCTATGCCGACATGAAAATGAATTGTGCGCATTAGAGAAGTAAAGGCCTTTGCAGAATGCTAGGCAACAGGCAATAAGAACAAGTAATAGGAATTCGGATTGGTCAATTATTTCTATTCCCTTCTCCTATTGGCTAATGTCTAGTCCTATTGCCCGTTGACAGCTCACGTTACAGCCTTACAGCTATATTCTTACAGCTATTGTAGATGGCCTTTAAAGAGAATCGCCAACTTGGTCATGTGACCAGGAGCTCGATTCTTGATGGTATGCTAATGAGATACGCATGCGAAAATGTATAGTTCACGTTACGTATACTGTAGATTTTCGCATGCGTATCTCATTCGCACACCGTCAAGAATTGGGCCCCAGCTACTCAGCTACTCTGCGATTGGCTAACATAAACATGTACGGATTTGGATATTGGCTTGGTTTACATCGTCAAAACGTTAGTACGCGTATTAAATTTGATGCGCACCAATGCTTTAATACGAGTGCGTTTACATCGAACGTATTAAAGGAAAAATATAATACGAATTTAATTCATGTCGTTTACCTCCTAGTAGTGGTATTTGGAGTTGCAATTTGCTTAAGATAGCTTCGACCGACAGAAGGAATGCATAATTCTAAAAATGTGCTCGTTTCTTCTCTCCTTTTTTACAAGACTTTTAATATAATTTGAAACCAACGGTTACCGATAACACCGATTTTAATTAGGTTAGGTTCCCTCTAACATTCGTTTCATACGTATATGTCATCATTTGTATCATTTGATACGCGATTAGTTTAGTATAATACTCCTACTTGGCACACTCGCACTAAATTGATCCGTCAGTGTTTACATCGTGTGTATTAAATATTTAATACGAATTTGATACGAATATAGTACCTGATACGCGTATTAAGTGCACGATGTAAACCAAGCCATTACGATGCCGATGCAAAACCATACACATATATATATATATATATATATATATATATATATATATATATATGCGCGAGTGACGACATAAGCCATGTGACTGATACTGATAGACTCGTATCCAGGATTTCCGTTATTGGTAACTTCTCACCAATTTTGGGAATTTTTAACCGATGCAAAGATTATCTAGTGAATTACCAGGTCGAACCAATCACTACAATAGGTGCTTTCCAATTGCTTAACACATCTTGACACATATGTATAGAGAAATGCACGAAGTAACGTTGTGCACGATGCAATTGGAACAAAGTATGTATTAATGTGTATATATGTCGGGTAAGGTTAAGATTATTTGTCAACTATGCTTATATTTTGGTATTTTTTAATAATAAATAATAAAATCTAAATAATAAAAAAGATATTATCCACTTCACGTCGCAAATGCCAGTGCCGCTGGTACTTTTCAAGCTGCTACGCTTATTAACTTTAATTTTCACTAGAAAACACTAGTTTACACAGCGACTAGTAGCCCTCGAGCTGAACATGGATGTGTAGTGTTGTGTCGACGATAACGACAATTAGAATGCAATTTATGTCGCCGTGTGCATGAAAGTGTCTAGGGATATTGCAACTGGAAAGCACCCAGTGCAGCTGAAAAGAACAGACCTAAAGGTGCCTTTACATGGAAGCGTCGAGCGTTAAAGCTGTAGCTAATCAAAATGCCATTTTTCGCAAGAACTACAAGTATACTTCTGGAACCTAATACGTTGATTGGCTAACGCTTTAACGCTCGACGCTTCCATGTAAAGGTACCTTTAAAGATACCTTAAGAACAGATCACTTTATTGTGCACGCGCGCGGTAATATTTAAATATTAGAAATATAAATTGACTTTTACGTCCTGAGTATGCTATGTACGTATTTCGAAAAATTATTAACTAAGTTTACACGGCAACTTAAAATCGGTTTAGTAACAACCGTATTTAGTAAACTCTCGCATCCGATTGGTATATTCTTTTAGATCTAGAAATATATTCCAATCGGATTCAAGAATTCACTAACTACGGTGGTTACTAAACCGGTTTTAAGCTGCCGTGTAAACAGTCATTGATATTTTTATCCTCACATCTTCAACACAAGGATACGATTCATTTTGTAGGAAGTAGCAGCTTATCGAGTCATATGCAACGAAACAAATCAATATTATATTATAAAATAATTAGTTTTTAGTAGTAATATGTGTATTATGTATAAATAATTAAACTTAAATTTATATGTGATATGTTACAAAATATAAGTTCACTGTTTCTGTCTTTTATTGCTTGGGCCACTGTCCTGATCATCAGTTTGAAATATAGTCTTTGGCTGTGTTCTCTTGTATGCTGGTGCAATCCAATACGGCTTCTCTTCTGCTATCTTGGCATATTTAAGGATAGCTTCCCTGGGATCTTGATCGTCCTCTATCCTCTTGCTCAAGCCAAGATTTCGTATGACATAGGAACTCAGTGTTCCTCCTGAGGATGCCACTCTACCACCTTGACCAGAAGTAATAGGCAGATCAGGACGTCTGGATTTAACAGGATCCAGCCTATCTTTTTCCATCTGTTTACGAACTGACTTGGGCCTGTCCTGGCGAAACAGAGGAAGTGCGTGAGGCGTTATGATTTGCTGTGTAGACATTATCTCAATGTGCTTCTGTTTGGTATGTGTCTTGACAGCGCACAGCTTGGCACCTCTCATGCTTTTCTTAGGATCATAGTACACCTTCACAATACCGTTGCCACAGCCAACAAACACCTGATTCAGTTTTGGATGCCACAGAGTTTTGATCACATGTGAATTTGTCACAGAGATCTGGCTGACCAAGTCGAACGTCGTGCTGCTGTAAAATAACATCCTGCCATGTTCTGCATTTTTGTTTAAGGACTCTCCCGTGGCCACCATCGTGTCGTCCGGGCTGAACATACAATCAGTCGTGTTGTAACGCGAGAATAAGTCCTTTGCCACAAAGATCGGTGACTTGAACATTCGCAGGTCCCACAACTTCAGAGTGTCATCACAGGCTCTGCTGGCCAACATCCGCTTGATATAGGAAAAGCTCAGACTAGATATCTCACTGTGTTGTGCGTGTGCACCACGTGATACCAGAGAAGGGGTCACAAAGGTTCTCCTTTGATCCCACATTTGAATAGAACCATCTATGCACCCGCAAGCGATTACATTACCATCTCGATTATATGCACAAGTGGTTGGCATAGTCTTCACGCCATTCTGAGCCCTACACCTTATCAAACTCTTGTGACAACGTGGACTATTCAGATCCCAAATCCGACAGGTGCTATCTTGAGAGCAAGTGAGATACTGTTCCTTCACAGATGGATGCCAATCACCACTATTCAGACTGGCAGTGTGACCTTTCGTGCGTGACATGTCGATGAGATATTGATCACCTTTCACCGTCTCACACTTTTCAAAGCCGTCCCGGTCCAGGACCTTGGCCTGTGCTGCTCCAGATATCACCAGTATCATGTCACCGGTTGTTGAATACTGTAGACATTTGATGGGATGATTTTCGCAGGGTTGTAGGGTCCTGAAGCTTCTCATGGACGAGTCCATACCTGCGAAGTCCCAGAAGCAGACATCGTAGTCAACAGATCCGGAGGCTAATCGAGCGCCGGAGGGATCCGCGGCGATGGCGGTGACGGCTTTAGTGCCATGCGTCATTGTCACTTCGTGGGTACACGGAATCTTGTTGGACGACTCGTCATCGGACGATTCGTCGTCATCGTCATCGTCGTCGTCGTTGTCGGCGCTCTTAACATTCTTCTTCTTTTTCTCATCTGCGTCCGAAGTTTTCGTGTTTACATCAGCAGGTAGCGGAAGTGGTATCGGTGGACCAATCAAATTATCTTCGTCGTCGCTTTCTTTGCTGTCATCTTTGGAATCCGCACTTTCGTCGACGGATTTTTCTTGTTGGAACCCAGTTGCTTTGTTGTTCTGAAGGGTCTGCCTGATATTCTGCATCATCTCCTGCACATCGAAAACTCTCGCCTTCTTTGACATCGTAGTTAACCTATCTAATCTTGTCTGATTATGTTTTAAAATGTTTTGGTCAATAACGTAAATATGTAGGTAGTGGCGACTTGTAGCGGAAACTTCGGAATTAATAGCGTGTTCGACTGGCCCTGGGTAGAGAACCTCTAGTACAGAGAACCGCCAACTTATAGCGTTTTTCATTGGCAGAATTGGTGCGCACTGAGTGCGCACTAAGCTTGTTCACAGTATGTTATTATATTGAAAGATTGTCTTAAATAAATTCTCAAATATTTTTAACCAGTAATATAATATGTATAACATCCGTACGAATCATTTTATAACCTAAAATATTTTTAAATATGTATTAAGACACGATTTTAAATATGAAAATGTATTGTAAACAAGCCTTAGTGCGCACTCAGTGCGCACCAGTTCTGCCAATGAAAAACGCTATTAGTCATGTGACCAGCTACTCAGCTACTCTGCGATTGGCTGGCATAAACATGTACGGATTTAGACATTGTGACGCCAATGCAAAACCATATATATATAAATATAAGCATTTGTTCTGCATTGGCGTC